CCTCTGTGTCATCGGCTAGAACATCAGCATGTCCGTGGAAGGGGATTACACGTACTTGAGGATCAACTTCTACGTTCCCGGCAGTTCGTTGGGCAGACAGGAAGGGAACATCTTCCCCAATCCAGACGCCACTTTTGTTAAGGAAATGTACGTATCGGACCTGCAGGAAATGGATGTAGTGAATGTTGATTGCACTGAAGCTTAATTTGAGGAAAATCATGGATTGGATCAAATTCGGAGTATCTGTCAGAAAGCCACCAATGGTATGATTACGACACTTAAGTGGACCAAAAAAAAATCATGTACGCCTCATGTGCATAATTTGTATTACAAACGAGGCTTTAAAATAGAAATGAATATACCGTATTGGCCCGAATATAAGACACTGTTTTTTGCATTGAAATAAGACTGAAAAAGTGGGGGTCGTCTTATATTCGGGGTCTAGACATTATACCCATTCACGGCGCTAGATGGCGCCAGATATCATTGAAGCGAATGCTGAACTTGACTCCCCAGGCCAACGTGAACCCCTGTCACGAAGAATAAAAAGAAAAATAGCGGTAGCACGAAGAAGAAAAATAAAAAATAGCGGTAAGAAAGAAAAGAGAAGAAAATAATAGAAGAGATAACAGAAAATGGAGAAACGTAGCGACAATCTGGAGAAAAGTGGGTCGAAGATCGGCCAGGTTAACAGGCAGCTGAGGAGAAGTTATGATGTAATTTACATTTCAAAAACCAGAAGCCATTCATTGACGAATGTGATTGCACTTTAGTTTACATATTTAAATGTTCAGATATTAAGATTTGAATGAGGCAAAATAATTTTCTCTCAAATATATTGTTATAATCATTTGTTTCAGATGTACTGTAATTATTTTCTGTATAAAAATTAATTTGGTGTTCAAAAAGTCTTTTTTGAAACTTGAGTCTTGAAAAAGAGGGGGTCGCCTTATAATCAGGGCGGTCTTATACTCGGGCCAATACGGTACTGTAAGTACAGTCAGTTGTCAGGCTGTCACCTGATGCTTCTTTCTTGCGCTGCCAGCACGTACCGCGCGTCCAACCTGAAGGCGCCCGGCGACACCTCGGTGCCATCCACCAACCTGCAGAACGCTTTCCGCATCATCAAGGAGGTCCAGAAGCGCTACAAGACGCGGGAGGCCGAGGAGAAGGAGAAGGAGGGCATCGTCAAGCAGGACTCGCTGGTCATCAACTTAAATCGCAGCAACCCTAAACTCAAAGACCTCTACATCCGGCCCAATATCGCCCAGAAGAGGATGCAGGGCTCACTGGAGGCGCACACCAACGGTAAGCTCGGAGGCCGCGCCTTCCCCCACATCCGCTTTCCCGGGTTTGAATATCCCGCCTGTCTCCTCGGCCAGGTTTCCGTTTCACGTCTGTCCGTGGAGATAAAGTGGACATCCTTTACAACAACATCAAGCACGCCATCTTCCAGCCGTGCGACGGCGAGATGATCATCGTCCTGCACTTCCACCTCAAGGTGCCGCCAGGTGCTTGAGGACAACCCGGCCACGTTTTTCCCAAGTCAGGCTGAAGAGTGTCCGGTTTGCTCCCCCCCACTCCCTCTGTAGAACGCCATCATGTTCGGCAAGCGCCGGCACACGGACGTGCAGTTCTACACAGAAGTGGGCGAGATCACTACCGACCTGGGCAAACACCAGCACATGCACGACCGCGACGACCTCTACGCCGAGCAGATGGAGCGCGAGATGCGGCACAAACTCAAGTCGGCCTTCAAGAACTTCATCGAGAAGGTCGAGACGCTCACCCGAGAAGAGCTGGAGTTCGAGGTGCCCTTCAGGGACCTCGGGTGAGTATGGTCGCCTCTGGTGTGTTATCTGTGCCCACTAACACAAGGGTCATCCCTCAATTTAGTCAATTACTGTTTCCGACCAATTGATTCCAATGGAATATTTTTCAATCTTTCTCTGTTACATGTCCTCCAATGTGTTTGCAGCTTCCAGGGCGCCCCCTACAGGAGTACCTGCCTGCTGCAACCCACCTCCAGTTCCCTTGTCAACGTGACGGAATGGGTGAGGGGAAACGCACGCCAGTTTCCAACATTGCACGCGGATTACAAAAGGCACACGCTTGTTGAATAGTCACATTATTTAAAAGCGTAAATCATAAATCTTGAATGCGCGCAGCCGCCGTTCGTGGTGACGCTGGATGAGGTGGAGCTGGTCCATTTTGAACGAGTGCAGTTCCACCTGAAGAACTTTGACGTGGTCATCGTCTATAAGGACTACAACAAAAAGGTCACCATGATCAACGCCGTGCCTGTCAACTCCCTGGACCCCATCAAGGAGTGGCTCAAGTAAGATGGCCGTTGTCCAAAAATCACCTGCCACGCCGTTTTTCATCAACCTTCTTCCCCTCTTGTGCAGCTCGTGCGACATCAAGTACACGGAAGGCGTCCAGTCCCTTAACTGGACCAAGATCATGAAGACCATAGTGGACGACCCCGAGGGCTTCTTCGAGCAAGGAGGCTGGTCCTTCCTGGACCCGGAGAGCGAGGTCTTTCCGGCATTCGTCCGCGCCAAGTGACTTCTCGCGGCCGTCGTGGGCCTCAATTTGTGTCCTTTGCCCAGCAGGGGAGCGGCGCCGAAGAAGATTCCGAGTCCGAGATGGAGGACGAGACGTTTAACCCTTCTGCGGATGAGACGGAAGTGGAGGAGGAAGACAGCGATGAAGACTACAGCTCCGAGACGGAGAATTCCGGTATGTTTGCGCTGCGTCTCCAACGCCCGCCAGTAAGAATCTTGCATCCCGAGCCATGAAGCTGTACTGTATGACATCGCCTGCAGACTACAGTGCATCACTGGGCAGCGAGGAGGAGAGCGGCAAGGACTGGGACGAGCTGGAGGAAGAGGCCAGGAAAGGTACACGCCGTTTATTTATTTCCTTGTCAGCAGACTTGAGGTCAGCTTGGGCGTTCACCAGCAAAGATTTTAAAAATCGATTGTTCTCCCAATTATTCCTTCGATTATTTTGAGTAAAAGTTTGTTGCAAAATCTTTTTCCAATGATTGATTGACAGATTCTTGTTCTTTATTTGATCTTGATTGGTTCTCACACAAAAGCAAGTAAAGAACAATTAAGCAGTATCACAGAGAGGGGGTGATGTACTCCTCAACCTTCTCAGCTCATGATTGATGTGAAGGAAGTGCTAATCATTTGATTGTTCTTCCTCGGGCATGGTGGTTTCCTCTCCTTAACCAAAAAAAAAAAAAAAAAAAGATTGTATACACACCATTATATGTGTCCAAAAATGAGCAGCGGGGCAGGTCGGTAAAATTGAACAAGGTCTGGGGATTAAGCCCGCCATCATCATTTTGGTTGTCATACGCAGCCGACAAGGAGAGTCACTATGAGGATGAGGATACGTCCAACAAGAAGAGAAAGAACCGTTCGTCGACACTGCCGCCAGTCAAGAAGAAGAGGCGGTCTTAGACGTCCGTCTCCCATAGCCTCGCCTCTCCCCCGCCCTCCTGCACTCTTGACTGGCTCACACGATGTGTGTGTAGACGTAGAGGCCGCCCGCCCCGCCACGTCACGTCACATTGTCACGGTGACGTACCAGCAAAGTTCATTTTCTCTTCATTCCTCAATCGTCTACGATGTGTGTGCGCAGAAAGCGTTTTTACCACAAATGTTTCTGTTGGTTCCCAAAGAAAACACTTGACACGCCTCCTGACAAGTGTTTTTCTGATGAGGCAATCCCCAAACCCCCTCTGCGTTGTGTTCACTGTACACTCGAGGACATTCAACAAGTTTTGTTGGGGGTGTTTTGTTTTTTTAATGGGGTTTGTAAAGAACACACACACATACAGAGTCTGCCTCCTTTGTCTTCTTTTCTGAGTAGATGTTTGTTGTACTTAATTCTAAAAATTCATTTTTTGTTTTTGTAATAAAATGAAAAGGAAGAAATAACTCTTGGCGTGGACTTTTTTCTGCCGATGAGAAATAGAAATTGTCTCATGCAACTACCTGCAAAAATGGCTTTTTCCACCTACATGGCATCTTCCATTTCCTGCCTTCTTGCACTCCTGAAGTGTCACTTGGTTGAGGTTGTTGCGTTGCATCCCTCGGGCGACCATCTCAGCCTCGCAAGCCAGATCTGTTCTCCTGTGAAAACTGAGGGATACCCGATGTTGACGTTGCTTTTGTCCCATTTCAAAGAACACGCTCACATGTCATTTGTAGTGAGTGAGATGCACTTTTTGTTTTAATAAATTTCTTTCTTTTTTCTTTGTCTTGAAATTGGTAAGCTTAGTTCAATATTTTCTATTTCTAAACAAAGAATGCAAATGGGGGGAAAATATGGGAAAACATCCACTCACATGTAAATAAATATTAATGGCTGGCCTTGATACACTTAAGTTATGAGGAAAAAAAGAAAAACATGAAGTGCACAGCATCTGCTCTGCTATTCATTGCTGGAGACAAGAAAATACGAAAAGCCACCTCTGCAAGCTGGCAAGAGCATGAAGATCTCAAAGCTAATTGCAATGGATTCCGATCTACCACATGTTCAGGATAAACATAATATGCTATATAGCATACCAGGTGACCTCTATACCTTTAGTTGTAAATGTCTAGTGTTTCTGTCTTTTTTTTTGGGGGGGGGGCTGTTACTGTTCTCTAAGGACCTGATTGGCAAATTTGACAACCGGTTTTAATTTTCAAGGATGTCCAGTTGCATGGCTTTCTGTGACTGTTCGACTCTGTTGAAACCCGCTGATGACACTCACCTCGGTTGCTGCTTCCTCGCGATAAAAGGTTTTCAAATGATTTATCTTGGTAGGTTTTTTTGTTTTTTTTTTTTGGTCTGACAAAACCCAGCATTTGAAATGTTGAAACGTACGTTGACAATAAGACGATATAGGCGAAATAAGACAAACGCACAACATATATATTTTTTTTACTTGATTCGATAAATGCGGCGCTCAAGGGTCGCAACGTCACTGTGACGTAACGCAAAGAAACATCTTGGACTCGTATTTCGACGTCACGAGCACCACGGCGCCTTGAAACATCGCAGTACACTCTGCAGGCACCAACGACAAGAGGTGAGCGTTCTGATCTATCTGAGGTATTGTTACTACAACAAAGTCTCACAAATATTAGTCTTTCCGCGGGTAATTGAACAGGAAGAGGACACGACACAATTTCACTACAGGTCATCTTCGGGAGTGTGTCATGAACGTCTCATTTCGTCTTGTCATTCTCACTTTACTTGATTAGAATATTGCTTTTTGCGTGTTTTTAAATTTTGCAGGGAATGGCATCTTAGTATATTAATCAGACCATCATGTTATTTTTAAAAAACTATTTGTCCGTGTGTCGCGGCGTTGCTGTGATGGTATCATGTAGCATTTAGCAGATAGCCGGATGTCCGAGGTGGCCTGAATGCGTCTCGCCTCTTCGACTCATAAAAGTCTTTGGTTTTCACGTCAGTCCCACCGCCCCGTCCGACCGCCCCGCACTGTCGTGTAGCTTGCGGAAATTTCTAGGAAGAAACGCAGTGCGAAACAACAGCACAACACGCAGAGAGGGTTCGAAAGGCGGATTGTGTCCATGGACGCGTCACGTGGGAGCTAACCCGACAGGTGCACCGCGGCTTCGGGACTGTTCGCCTCAACCAGTGATCGGTGGTCGGTGGTCCTCGCCTACAGGGAAAGATAGCCTCGCTTTTGCCCGCGGAGCTTCTACAACAAGCCGCCCGCTTGGCCCTTCATCAAGGTGAGTACGGCAGCACCCAAATCACAAGCTCCCTAAGAGGATTTACTGCTGTCGCTATCAAGCTTGCTTTTTGTTGACTTTGGTATTTTGCACTTTGGACTTATATCTTGTTTGTCCATCGTGTCCTTTGGCGTATCTCTTAAATACGAAAGTAACAACTTGTCATAGGTGACATTTTATTTTTCAACTGCATGTTTTGTCACACCGTCATGCCCAAGGTTTATGTAAATGTAGATTGTAACACAAGGCATTTCAGGCATATGGTGTCACACTCTGTGTGAACACCAGGGGGCGCTGGTTAAAAGGATTACTTGCGAGGAGGAAGAAAACGCAAGACTGGTGATGTACACGGTGGGAAGATATCGCTCAGACCGTTCAATACAAAATCAAGAGAGTTAAAAAAAATACAAAACTGCTTCGTGAGAATGCTACAGGTTATAAACTGAAGCTGATGCAACAACTGAAGGGAAACCGAGCCGAAAGTGTGCTGACATGGCTCCTCCTGTTGCAGTATCGGGGAATTTTTTTGGTTTAATGATTACAGTAGTGGTACAGAGACAGGTATCGGTCCAACCGCAGTTGAAAATAAATTCTGAACATGCTTGTCACTATTCTTTCCACCGATTAAAAAAAAAAAAATTTGATAAAATATAAATGAAGTGTAAAAAAGTTAGACGAGAATATTTCTTTCAGTAATATGCAGGGTAGGTGAAAAGTAAAGAGTTAAAAATTTGTAATTAACCCATCAAGTGACTGGTCATCATGGAAATAAGAAATACCTAATAATGTTTATTAAAATGTTGCTCAGATCTGTCGTCTAATGTGTGTAGTAAGTAGTCACGAGGGAAGTAAATTTCATCAAGGCAAGTACAGATAGCGTAAAATAATTTTTCCATAATAAATTCTCACTACCGGTACATTTTCTTTTATCCTTTTCCTCAAGCTCTTTGAGCAAGGGTTTTATACAATACATCTTTATTTATATTCACCCTGGACTGGACTGGCGGGGAGGCACTCTGTGTTTTCATTTCTGACAAAGTGTATTGTTGAATTTGCCATCCCTCTCTCATCTCTCCTCACTTGTGCCTCTCCTCAGCGCCGTCGCCAATATGGCATCAGGCTCGTCGGACCAGTCCAACGTCCTACAAGAGGAGCTGACCTGCCCCGTGTGCTTGGACGTCTTCCACGACCCGCGCTTGCTTCCGTGCGGCCACAACTTTTGTAAGATATGCCTGGATCGGCTGCGGCGGTTAACGGATCAGAGCCGCTTCCAATGCCCGGAGTGCCGCGACAGCCACCGCTGCAACAGGAGCTTTCAGAAGAACTTCAAGCTGGCCAACATAGCTTTTGATTTCCGCCGCCGCCGCAGAGCGGCCACTGCCGCAGCCAATGCGTCAGCGCAGGCTTTTAAAGATTGTGTCGCAGCCATCCCCACTGGCCAGCGAGACTGCGTCCCGTGTGACTACTGCCCTCCTCCCGCCACAGAGTCGTCAGGCGCTGGCGCCTCTGCAGACACTGGCGGCTCGCAAGAAAAAGGAGACATGCAGGCGGGTGCCACCGCCTCCAACATGGCAGTCAAAATGTGCCTCAAGTGTGAGGTGTCCATGTGCCCGGAGCACGTGAAACCGCATCTTGAGCTGCCGGCGTTTCGAGAGCATCCGCTGACAGAACCCATTAGGGACTTCTGGAAGAGAAAATGCCCTGACCATGATGAGATTTTCAAGTATGTGTCGGAGAAGGTGCACGCTCTGCGAAGACTTGACAATGGTCCCTCAGAAAGTCTGAATTCCGGTTGTTGTGCAGGTACTACTGCCTCCATGATGAAGTGTGCGTGTGCAACGCGTGCACCATTGAAGGACGTCATGCGGGACACACAATCAAGACACTGAAGAACACCATGGTAGACATCAAGGTGCGACACAGCGCGTTCATTAGGCTTCCTCAAATATAACCGATTTCATTTGCTATCACCTAATAAGCATCTATACGTTCAATCTTGAGGCAACATAATGCCACACGGCACTAGTTATTATTCGAGCCCAATTGATGAGGATTTTTCTTATGCTCATTTTTGACAGAAAAAAAATACAGATTCATCAGAAGATTTTAAAAAAATACATGGAGAAAAAAAATCGATGGGTGCCAATTCTACATAGCTTTTAGGTATTTGTGGGCCAGCCTGGTGCCTATTTCCCACGAATAGTGGGGGTCAAATGTCGATATATTGTAAGGGGAAAAAAAGTTTTTGTCTCCTTTAGATCGCAATATAGCATTTTTCTTTAAAATTGAAACGAATGGCAATTTTGTCAACGGTTAAGAACACATCAAGTTAAAAACAATCGTAGCCGACGATGTTGGCCGATGTTTGAAGGGCCGTAATCAGGCAATTAATCGGCCGACCCCCGAGTTAACAGATTTATTTTCATCTTGAAGACTTGACGTTGGTTAAAAATTTGTTGAAATCACATGACACGGGGACAGAGCAATAGTGTGGACTTCTGAAAACAGTGCTTGACGAAGCCATTTTGCTGCCCTCTAGCAGGAGGTTTTACACAAGCAGCTAAACAAGACCCAGAAGAAGTACGCCATTGCCAAGAGAACGTATCACGAGCAGACCGAGAGGGAGAAACAGAACAAGGTGAGGAGGGAGGCTCCTGCATGTCACGTGATCCGTTCTTTCCCGTGACAACGCCCCCCCTCCCTGTCCGTCTCCCCCGTAGAAATTCATGGAGGACTCCGAGGCCTGCTTGACCAGGCTACGTCAGGATCTGGAGGAGAAAGTGTCGGCCTTTGTGAGCCGACTGATGGAGTGCGTGCGCACAAACTGCGAAACCAATGGGCCCACCATCCAGAAGAACATCACCCGCATCTGCCAGGACCTGACGCGTCTCCACGAGGTGCGCTGCGGCATCGAAGGCCTCATGGAGGAAAGCGATCCGTTCCGCTTCATTGAGGTGAATTAGTTCTCCGTAGACAAGTTTGTGCCCACCCGTCTCTTGGTTTCATGACCGTGTCTCATGTTGTGACCCCGCCCCCTCCTCCAACCAGGCCTACAAGACCACAGGAAAACAGTGAGTTTCAAATTCTACATTGTAATGTGGTATGGATGGTATAATGTCATTTGAAGAGCTCAGTTTTTTTTTTTTTTTGAAGCAGTACTTTCATATGCTTTACTTCTGCACTCCAGATGTCATAAGTTGCTGAAGAAGAACACGTTCCACCCTGAATACGTGGACATAGATCCAGCGCTTCTGGGCATCATGATGGAGGAAGAAATGCAAAAGTTCCTCAACCTGGATCTTACCTTTTACATCTTTGCTGCCATCAACTTGATATGTAAGTAAGCCAGTCCGTCCACTCCCATCTCAACCCGAGCGGCCACAATTGTTGCTGAAATGTTTTCTTCCATCAGGTCAACACAATGATAACGAGGAGGAGCACGGTGAAAATGAGGACATGGCCAGGCAGACGGACCAAGACGGCAAAGCTGATGACAGCAACGACCTTGATGACGGCAGCGAGGAAGAGATGAGCGGGGAGGAGGAAGAGGATGAGGAGGAGGAGGATGAGGAAGAGGAAGGGCAGGAGAATGAAGGTCATGAACTGAGTGATTCGGATGAACTTTACATTCCCGAAGAAGAGGAGGAGGAGGAAGAGTCAGAAGAGGGGGAAGAGGGGGGAGAGGAAGCTCAGGAAGAGGACTATGAAGACATTGATGATGGGGAAGAGCTAGATTAGCCACACAACACACATGCGTGGATACGCACGCACACACAGCTGAATGTAGAATCCAAGGCTTGAACTCCACTCCAGTCTGTAATTTTTCCTACAGTGTTGCTGAGTCTTTGCCTCATTAAAAAAAAAAAAAAGCAGTTAGAAATGAAAAGATGAAATGATTACTTGGAATCTTGGCCCAAATCTCCCTGGTTTCACATTATCACAGTGCTTACGTGGATTTTATCCTCCCATATTTCAAAAAACACGTTGGGTTAATTGTAGACTATAAATTGAATGTGACCGCTTGTTTGTCAATATCAGAACCGATGATGAACTGGTGATCAACCCAGGGGGCACCCCACCTCTTGGCTCTCGTCCAAAGCCAGCTGGAGACAGTGGAATTTTTATTGCATCGCATTAATGCCTTCATGCATGTGAGTTAGCCAGAGTTAAAAAATATATTTTGTGTGCAGAAATAGAAGATGGTTTGCATTGCGCTAACAATTAAGATCAGCAACTGAACGATTGCGTTGCGTTTTATTTCTTCCAGTGGTACAATGTTCCCTTGAGCAAGAGAATTTGCACTTTAATAATTGAATGGATTGCTATGCTACGTTGGGCCTACAAAATTTTAATGTTGAATCGAAATATGTTTTGATACAGGTGATTTTGTGCAATTGTTAATAAAATATTTTTTAAATGAAAATCTGTGTTGTCAGAATAATTTTTTGATAATATAATTATATTCTCAAAATATAGAAATAAAATAGGGAATCAAACATTTCGCATACGCACGCACACAGGAACGTACACGAAAAGCGAAGTACCAGCTTCCGGTTAATGCGTCCGGTTTTGACACGTTTTCAAAATTAGCTTTTAAAATAATAGTGTTGTTGTGCGAAATGTTTGGATATTTTACCTTCATTATTTTTCTGACAAAAGAAAGTTTAATGTTTAAAAATAATAATTAGGGATGCCGACATTTTGTTCTATACACGGACACGTGAAGGCACGTACCAACTTCCGGTTAGCTCTCCCGATTGGCACTTCTAATAACAACCATCGGTCATCGTGTTCAAATATGAATCCTGTCTTGCGAAAGGTATGTATGTATGTATGTATATTTGCTTGCTTGTTTGTTTGTTTGTTTGTTTGTTTGTTTCACACTTCACTTGCTGTTTATTTTTTGTTTTTGAAAGGTCATCAACTTTTGCTTCCTTCATGTTGGCGTCCTTCGCAAAAGTGATTAGAATTTAAAAACATGGTTTATATGAAACATTGAATAACAATCACCACCAAGTCCGGATTTTTTTTTGACAGAATGTTCTTCCCTATTTGTGCATTGTAATAAGACTAAACAGATGACATACAGTATATATTTTGATTTCCCGAAAAAGAGGACCCTCGGCCCGGCTGAAATGACACCCCAAGATCTCATGGATTAATACATTTGCAATATCAGCGATATTGTGATTATGTATCATGTATCTAAAGAAATCACATCTTTATTCTCTCACGAAGAATTTTTTTTTCATGAATGGATGTTTTTCTGTGTTGATATAAGCTTTGACCTCTCCGACCAGCACCTTGACGAGACAAATAAACATTTTCCTGCGAGCTTTACACACTGTTATCTTTATCTCTGTATTGTCACTGTCCTCAACTCCGTACCGTTAGTCAGGGGCGGACTGACTGCAGTTGTATTCGGCTTTTTCACCAAGTAAACATAACGCACCTGTCGGTCCAGTGACTTCAACTACAGCGGTGAAACACAGACGAACGGGATGTCATTCCATCCATTTTTAGCAGCAAACAGTTGCCATTCACACTTGTGACTGCTGACTGCCTTCTCTTTCGGGTTCTCCCCACCCGAGGCCAGTGTCCATGTCACACTTAATAGTCTGATTTTTTTGTTTGTTTGAATTAAGCAGGTGCTGAGTCAATCGCTGTTACTCTGCAGGCAAGTACCCCCACATTGCTCTGATTAGAACTTCATTTTGTGTTGACTCCTTCTTTTTGTCTTTGAAGGGCTCCAGCGTGCTCCCAACTGACTGCGTGGGGTAAGGCCACACGAGAAATGTGCATTACGGTATGACTCCTGCACGTTGGTTACGCGACATGTTGCTGTGCGGCATGCAGGAGGCGTGGCTCAGACTCAAGAAAGGCGATACAGAGGCTCTCCGACCGAAGGCATTGGGAGATGGCGGCATCTCTTATCCAGAGAAGCGGTCAGTGGCGGGGTCGAAGCCTGAATGTGATTCCATCACCACAGCTCTGAAATGATTCAGCTTCATGTTCAGCCAAAGAAAAAGAAAGACAAGCATCAAATGCAGAGCATCACGGCCCCCACAAGCGTGGCATACGGCACCCTCAACGTCAATGTGTCGGGCTATGACATGACCGTGGTGGAACACTACGCTCAGTATATCCACAACCTCTGTAACCGCCTCGGCATCAGCGTGGCAGAAAGGTGACGCCGGGAAAACAAATCTTTTGATTGGTGAAAAGCTGTCGCGGTGTAAAATCCCGTGTATGTTGTTCCTCCTGCTCAGCTATGCGGTGCCTACCCAAAACACCGAGGTGATGCTGATGCAGGAGAGTGGCACCAAGATGTACGTCGACTCACTTCTCAAGACGCATAAACGTGTCATTCAGGTAAAACATGTGAGAGTTGAAAAAAAAAAAACATCACATGATTTTGTTTTATTGTTTTGGACAACACGTTCCCACTTATTCATGGAGTTTCAAATCAGTTGTCGAGTCACAGAAGTTGAAATATATGAGATCGTGTTGCGCATTTTCAATGGCATGTCTTAAAAAAAAGTCTTGCATTAATCATCTACACGCAAACGTTGAGGGCGAACCCAAATTAAGCGGTTAAATGACTGACAACAACATTTGCATATACAGTAATGCCTCGTTTATCGCGGTTAATGGGGACCGAAATCACTCGCGATAAACGAAAATCTACAAAGTAGCGAACCCCCCCATATAGGTATATGTACATGTGTATGAGTATAAATAATAATTATAAGGCCAAATTTAATGGTATACATGCATGTTTGTAGTAATTAACATGACTTAATGCTATATACTAATATATTTAAACATGTATAAGTTAGGTTAGGTTAGTGTATGAAAAACGAAATACAGTAAACACATACATGTAGCACTGTATATGTTGCTCTATGTGACTCGCTGTTGTTTTCCTGACTTTCACTGCCTCTCGCGGACCTTTTGTGAACTTTTTGTGGCATTTTCGCCTTTTTTTAAAATTTTTTTAAAGAATATGTTTGAAAAAATCTGCGCTGCACCTAAGCCATGATAAACGAACCGCGAAATAGCGACTAATCACTGTAGTTGAATAGGGAAGTATGCTTTTCGAAAATGTCCATCCACAGTGATACCTTGAGATATTTAATTTGCGGCATGACCAAACTCCGTGGCAATGCGACACCCACAGTTAAGCAGCTTGAAGGCGACGCTGTGTCCCGTCTTGATGGACGTCCTTGTGAAGAACCAGCCGGAAGGGGTCAACCTGTCAGTCAAGGAGGTGAGTCGGCTTTGATGGACGACATCCTTTCCCACATGTACACAACATTAGGTTTCCATTTGTCTTTTTACCCACAGCACACGGAGGCCGACTTCCTGGCCCGCTTCAAGGCGCGACCCGAGCTGGAGGGTCTCGTGGCTCAGATAGGCCAATAGGTTGTGTGCAAAAAAAAAATAATAATAATATTTGTGTGCAAAATTTGTTTTGACATTGTATGCTGAATTTGAAAAAATAAAATCAGGTTAGCTGTTCCCTGATAGTGTTTTTCTTTTATTCCCCAGGGGGGAAATACAGCCATTATCATGTGTGAGTCTGAGAATTAATCATTGATTTGAGTTGAACATTTCCTCTCCCACTTTGTGTTCAGTGTTTGTGTCTTTGACAGGAAGTTGACTCGGGGCGCTGCAGGCTATGTCAAACGTATGCGAGGCATCAAAAGGAGAAGTGAAAGTTACAAATTACATGTGACATCACGTAACTTTTTTTTGGGAGGTCATCACATCAGGTCTAAAGCTGCATTTGGCTTGAGAAACAGCGTGGAAGAAGAAAATCCAGCCGTGATAGCCACACGTGGTGCCGAACGTGTAAGTCTTTTTTGCATTTGTGGACCTTTTCAAGAACAAAATGAGTCGATGCTGTGATTGAATCTATCAGCCTGATGCCATCTCTCATTTCCTCGGTCCTGCACTGAAGAAAGTGGGGCAAATGTTTCTCTTGTTTATGGTAAAGCAAATATTCCTCAGTGTGAAACATTCTTTCAAGGAAGTGTGCATGTTTCGTTGAACTGTACTGTACTTTCGTAGCTCTCAATGATTCGGTTGAAGAAATTAATTATGGCATATTGCCTTTAGTGTAATACCCCATGTGTTACAATTTCTACAATTTTTGTAGATTTTTGCGTATTGTCATCTTTAAATCAAAGACAAAGCATAAAAATTGTGTGATATGAAATATTCCAATTCATGTTTTATTTATATAGATTTATATTTATGTTTTGGTCATAGCACAATACCGCTTTTATTGTCCATAGAGGGCAAAAATACAAAGAAAAAAATAAGAACTATATGTGTATGTATAGCACTGATGCCACTGAACATGTCGAGTGGTTGAAAGTAAAATAAGTATTCAGGAATAATACTTTTACAATTTTTGTAAAAATGTATGTTGCGTTATATAAAATTATTTACATCGACTGCAGCATATGGGTTATCATGCCAAGAGCATCAGTAGTCTTTATTTATTTATTTTACTTTTCAAGAAACAGATTATTTACAATAAAAAAACAAAAATTACAGTCAAATTCTCATTGAGTAGCAGACATGTCAGCGGCTAACAGTGCTAATTAGCTTGTTAGCTCCTTGCTAACCGTGCTAGTTAATTATCAGGGTGTCCTGTGTTCTGAATAGTTTACTTGCTCTTATCATTAATAAGGAATTTATATTTTGTGGACTTTATTATTGACCCATCTGGCCAAGCTTTGGAGCACTACACTGCACGTATATTATGTCATTACAGTCACATAGTTGCATTATAGCCTGCTGGATCAAGGTCAGCCAGGGGAACTATTGTAATAAATAGACTCCATTGTTGGAAGCTGTTTGTTTTACAAAATCGATACAACGCATCTTGATGGGCCCAATATCGTGGATGACCTCAGTTATTTGCTGAAAATCTGGTCTCGCCGCTGTTTTGCGCTCAGGACAAACCGATAAAAGTACTACTTTGGCGTCCTCTGGTGGAATTTTGTCGTGTTAAATTTCATTCATTCATCTGTATTTGAAATGTCCTGTTTTGTTGGCGGTTCTTGAATACGCATTCAAAAGTAAAAATTTGTTTCGGCTTCTGTCTGCTACCTGACAGCCAGTGTAGACTAATTTCTGTTAATTTTCCTGTACTATTTACCTTTGTGTGTAAATGCCAAGATGTGAATGTAATGACCTCACAGTTTTTTCTTTGACCATAGTCTGTGCTGGTCTAATGATTGACAAGCTCACAGTTGTCCCGTAGCTCAGATCGAGTCAAGTGTCTCGTGTCAGCGTCCGGCCATGCGATGACATTCGAATTGGCGCCAAGATGAGTGATGAGCCGCTGTTGGAAGAGAAGCTGATCAAGCGATCGCAGCAGAAGAGGAGGATGTCTCCACTCAACTACAAGGAGAGGCTGTTTGTCCTGACTAAGAACAGCCTCAGCTACTACGACGGCAGGGCGGAGGTTAACGCTACTCTTTTGTCATCATTCGTGCACAGGAAGTAAAGCGCAACTAAGAAATTGTGTTCTTGTTGTCCACAGAAAAAGTTCCAGAGAGGCTCCATCGAGCTGAGTCGCATCCGATGCGTGGAGGTGGTCAAGGATGAGGGTGTGCTCAACCCCTGCCAGAACAAATATCCTTTCCAGGTTGGCCGTGTGAGCTCATTTACGAAAATGCAGCTCTTGATGAACGTTACCACAACCACACTGAAAAAAAGAGCCACTCCTCTCCAAAAAAAACCGAGCCCATTTATCGTCAAGCATGACTTACCGTGTATCCAAAAAGTCTTCACCGTGCTTCACTTTTTACACATTGCAAACTATTCCAGAAAGTGATTGAATAGGTTTTACAACACACCATGAAGTTAAGGTAATAAAACTATTTTTGTAATTTCTACAAATGTATTCAAAGGGAAGTCAAGTCAAAAATGTTCCCAACAATAAAATGTTTGATGCGCCCCCTAGTCTAAGCTCAGCATTCTGATTAATATTGCGTTTGTGGAATATGATTTTACCGGTAAGCGGCTATCTCGGCCGAGGCAACCGCTTTGCCACTTGCTGTCAACTGAAAATGACATCACCAAGTCTCAGCGCTTAGGTAACGACCAGTCACGGCTTACCTGTTTTCTGAGTTTGTTTATGTAACGTTCAGAAGCACCTCGTGTGCCGTCATTATCAATTCTGTCATTTGGTCTCCATCAACAAAGTGAGAAACGCATTGCAAACTTCTCTGACAAGTGCAATGCTTCCAAAATGAGTGAATGCAAGGGAGTAAACGTACCATGTGGTGCTAATGTTTGAAAACAATTTTACAGGTGGTGCACAACACTAACACGCTCTATGTGTTCACGCCAAGCCACAACAGCCGGAGTGCCTGGGTCCAGCGAATGAAAGAAGGTCAGTACTTTTTTTTTTTTTTTGCTTTTCTCAGCATTCAACCGTTGCGCCACTGTCAGCCAGAAACTTGTCGGCTGACGCCCGTCCGTTTGCAGAGATCCGAGACAACCGGGAGATCCTGACCAAGTTCCACCCGCAGTTCTGGTGGGAGGGCGAGTGGCTGTGCTGCCGTCAGGAGGAGAAGCAGGCCCCGGGCTGTGAGGAGTATAACCCGTTTGGAGATGGTGAGCGGCCGCCGTCCCATCATTCCAAAAGCTTGCTCAAACAATATACGAGACGATTCGCACTCTCACTCTTCTTCCCCTTTCCGTTCCTCTTTTGTAGCTTCCAGGAAACCGCTGCCCCCGATTCCCGCTGAGGACGGCACATATGGGAGGGTAACCGCCCATTCGCGCATTCCCGCGCACGCCCAAAAGCTCACATCCAGTCGTCCCCTTACCCACCACCCACCTCCCTCCCACAGCACCTGCAACCGCTCCTTCCCGAGGCTTGCGACTATGATGAGGAGACCGTGGTGGCGCTATATGACTTTGAGGGCAGCGAGCCGCACGACCTCAGTCTTGTCAAAGGAGGCGAATACGTCATCGTGGAGCGTTGCGATGTCAACTGGTACAAAGCGCGCAACCAGGACGGGTACGTTGGCAGGTCTTGGGATGCAGTCATGCGTGTCACATTTTACACTCTGTCACCAGATGAGACTTTTAGGACCATCATCATCATCTCTCTACCTACACAGGGAGGAAGGCTACATCCCGAGTAACTACGTCGCTGAGAAAGAATCCGGGAACCTGGCGCAGTTTGCGTGAGTCATTTTAATGACTTTTAGAGAGAAGGCTAAGCCGTTTAAAAGCATCCAGATGAACACGTGTGTGTTTTTGTGCGCGTGTCTCCGTCACGTGTGCAAGCTGGTACAGCAAGCATGTCAACAGGAACAAGGCTGAAGAGCTCCTGCGGAAAGAGGTGAGGACTTCTGGGTATCCCCTCTTGATACGTTTTCACAGGTTGTTCTGACAGCTATAGTTTAAGTGCATGCAAAATTATTGTTTTTTTGTGGTCAAATACGTTCCCAATGTGTTTAAAAATGCTTGCGTGTTCACCACACTGTGTTTGTCGCCCTCTACAGGACAAAGAGGGCACCTTCATTGTCAGAGAGTCCAGCACCAGGGGAACCTACACGGTGTCGCTCTACAGCAAGTCCATGGCAGGGTAAGCGCCTCGCGCTCGCGCCCCCCGTCGACTTGACGGACGACAAAGGATGTCACGATTGTCGCATTGGTTTGCAGGAATGGAGGCGGCGGTATTAAACATTACCGCATCAGGGAGACCAAAGGCTCGCCCAAACAGTTTTACCTGGCGGGGAAGCACGTGTTCCAATCCATCGCTGAACTCATCACGTACCATCAACACAACGCGGCAGGTGCACCACGGGAGATTCTATTGGTCAACAGTTACATTTTTCTCACGCACAGTAGATGACGTGCAGCGTAATAATAATAGAACAACTCTCATCACGTCAGGCCTGGTCACCAGATTGAGATATCCTGTCGGGAAACAGGACAGGTCCGCTCCATCCACAGCTGGCTTCAGCTACGGTGGGACTTTTTTTTTTTTTTGTGTGTGTGATAATTCTGCTTAGATGAAATTAGATTTACGATATTCATTGTGACATCTGGTCCCATAGAGAAGTGGGAGATCAACCCCAGCGACTTGACCTTCATGAAAGAGGTTGGCAGCGGTCAGGCCGGGGTGGTGCGGCTCGGCATGTGGAGGGCACAGCACAAAGTTGCCATCAAAGCCATCAAACAGGGCGCCATGTTTGAAGAGGACTTCATCGAGGAGGCCAAGGTCATGATGTACGTCAGAAAAGACGAGGAGGAACCCCAGAGGTCTTCGCGATGGCATTTTTGAACAGTTGTATTCTCGCTTTGCCGTCGCCACCAGGAAGTTGTCCCATCCCAAGCTCGTGCAGCTGTACGGCGTGTGCAGCCAGCAGCGGCCCATCTACATCGTCACCGAGTTCATGGAGCACGGCTGCCTGCTGGACTTCCTGCGGAGTCGGCGGGGCTGCATGGGCGCCGCCTCGCTACTGAGCGTCTGCCTGGACGTTTGCGAGGGCATGCAGTACTTGGAGAGTAGCAGCTTCATTCACAGAGATCTGGGGGCCAGGAACTGCCTGGTGAATGACGCCCTGGTTGTCAAGGTGTCTGACTTCGGCATGGCCAGGTGGGCATGCCGTCCTTTGTTGGCCATTGAGTGAATGAAGCAGTGTTGGCAGATCTCCCGCTTTTGTGCCGTAGGTACATTTTGGATGACCAGTACACCTCGTCGTTGGGGTCCAAGTTCCCCGTGAAGTGGTCGCCTCCAGAAGTCTTCAACTTCTGCAAATACAGCAGCAAGTCGGACATCTGGTCCTATGGTCAGACGCCGCGACCGACCATAAACCTCAGATGAATTTTCTTGCACGATTAGCGGACGCAGATGTGCTGTTTGCCCTTACCTTTGCATTTTCGTCACTTTGACCGTGCAGGGGTGCTGATGTGGGAGGCATTCACCGAAGGCCGCATGCCATTTGAGCACAGTGACAACCACGAGGTTGTTACCTTGGTAACAGAAGGTCACCGCCTCTACAGGCCCAAGCTTGCCACCGAGGCCATCTATGACATCATGCAGATGTGCTGGCAGGAGGTCAGCCCCACCCCACACGCATGATGTTGTTTCTTAGTACAACGGGATGACTCTTCCTTCGGTGTCCACAGAGACCTGAGGACCGTCCGTCCTTCTCCCAACTGTGCCTCATGATCTCTGATGTCCTGGAGGGCGATGGCACACTCGCCAACTGACAGGTGTCATTCTACACGCCTCACAAAGAAGACTGTTCCTTTAAAACACTTAGCAAACTAGATGACCGCTGTACTCCTTAGCCACATCTAGCCAGCAATCAACACGACGTTTTTGAAAACACCGGCAACTTGAGACACAAGTGACCTGACGTTTTTCTTGGTACTGTCATTTGGATGATTTTTTTTTTTTTTTTTGTCTTCATCCATCCATCCGTTTTCCGATCCGATTATCCTCACAAGGGTCGCGGGGATGCTGGAGCCTATCCCAGCCGTCTTCGGGCAGTAGGCAGGGGACACCCTGAACCGGTTGCCAGCCAATTGCAGGGCACACAGAGATGAACAACCATCCACGCTCACACTCACACCTAGGGACAATTTAGAGTGTTGCATTAACCCACCATGCATGTTTTTGGAATGTGGGAGGAAACTGGAGTACCCGGAGAAAACCCACGGAGAACATGCAAACTCCACACAGGGAGGAGGCCAGAGCTGGAATTGAACCCCGTACCTCTGTACTGTTAGGTCAACGTGCTAACCACTGGTTCACCGGGCCACCCCCTTTTTTTTTTTTTTTTTTTTGCTTGGACTTGTGAGCAGAGACTTAAGATACGAGTGCTGCACACGGGCCGTCAAGTCAACACACGCAGTAAGCAACAGATTAGCAGAAGAGAAAAAAAAGAAGCTTCAAGATGTTTATTCCTTCTCCCAGTTCATAAAACAAATTTAATCACGTGTTGTGTATTCAAAACATCCAAACAACATTGCCTTAAGAATGTCCCTGCTAGCTTAATGTTAACACATAATGGAAAAATTCCATTGATGGACTGACAGTTAGCATTAGTTATAGCAGTGTTATAACCCAGCAACCCTTGTAGACAGACAATATCACACTGACAGGCATATATTATATGGCCACTGCAAAGAACAACTAATATGACTGCAGGTTATTGAGCCACAGAGAGGGAGTGACCTATCTGTGTGACTGTATTATACTCACCCCAGGTGGCCAATGTGGGTACACCAGAAGGAGTTTCTTTTTTGGTGGCCAGGCGGGAACGGATTATTGGTACTTCCATTCATTTCAATGGGGAAATATGATTTGAGGCATCAATTCTTTGAGTAAGGAGCATGGTCATTGAGTAAATTACGCTTGTATCTTGAGGTATTACTGTACTTAATTCTCAAAATAGTGTCAGTATCTCATTTGAGCCATTAAAATACTTCCAAAAGAGGCAACGTTGTTTCTCATTTCATCCCAATTGATCCCCTCAAAATTTACTTTTGAACTTGACACATGCAAGAACAATTTCGTGTATTTTAAATTAACGGTAACAGTAATAGAAATGCATCGAGCATTCTGTAGCCACCTCTCAGTGCCAAGGCTCCATCTGGCCTGAAATGTCAAAGCAGCATCAGTGAGAGCAGGTAACCGGCGGCAACCGCTGCCGCCGCGGCGGCCGCCGCCGCGATCAGGAGGAGTCCCTTGAGAATGTGCGAATTGTTCCTCGGGGGACTCGCCGACGTCCCGTCGACAGCACTGGCTGCAAAGACAACACACAGCTTCGGTAACGATCCCCCCTCAACTGCCATTTATGTTTCATGAAGCCATTTTGGAGGCCTACCTCTCACGATGACTCGATACTTTCCAGATTTCACACCGGTGCTGGTTTTAACTTGACACCGGTACACTCCCGAGTCTTCCATTCGCAGCTTGGACAGTTGGAGGCTTATTTGTCCCCGTCTCAGAGCATCCCTGTCACACTGCACGCGGCCCACCAAATGAACCGCCACGCCGCCCAGTAGTTGAAAGAGGACGGTGACCTCGCCCTCCCTGAAGAGTTCGCAGTGAATCCGAAGCGAGGTGAGCGACACGTTGGCACGGCTGGTGAACTTCCAGCCCAGAGTGATGTTGTCATTTTCTCGGGCCCGGTAGGAGTCTTGAGTCACGTTTGCGTCAAATCCGCCCGCAGGAGTCAAAACGAGGGTCGCAAGATCACGCGATGGTTCAGATATGGAGATCGACTCACAGCTGGACGTCAGGCCAATGAGTAGGATGAGCCGGAAGATCGTCATCATCTTCCCGGGGCCGACCGCAAGCGCATCAGTTCCTGTAGCGCTGCCAGATGACCCAAAATCTTTGTGCTCATCGGTGTCAATCTCCAATGTGGTGAGTCAGCAGAATACGATAGAACCAGAACTCACCTCAAGTCGATTCTTTTTTTTTTCTTAGTCTTGAGGTGCCATTTCCGTCTCATGTCATCTTTTGACAAAGCATCCCAAGTCGCTTTGGTAAAGGACCCATTGTTGTCTCGAAACAGGCCGCACCGCTTTTGGACGTCAGCAGTAGTTTAGTTTGTATGCGTCGAGTGTTCTGTGACTGAAGATCAAGTGAAGTCTGAAAGCTCCAATAACACCTCGAAAATGGGTGTGTTCCCATCAAGCGTGTCACTCTCCTCCGCCCCCAGCCACTCTTTTCTTTTTTTTTGTGTACATTTCAAAACTTAAGCCTCTCTCAGGCCCGCAGCTATGTGCCCACACGTCATTGCCACATCGCCTCACGTATGTGTTTACATTGCATTTGCCATTGTAGTTTCGAGAAAGTCACGCGAGTATATTTTATCATGTCACCCCTCCCTGAATGTTTGAAGAATGCTATCTCGGCCGATTACAATTGGAGAGGCTTTACGAGGGCGTACGTACGACTTGTAAAGGATGGGGCAAATGTGGGTCGAGCGCCTCTCCTGCAGAACCGTCTGCCCGATGCGATCCGGAGGAGCAGCCACCGTCTCTCCATTCGTAAGAGTAAACTTCAGACTTGACTTTATGATCAAGCGTGTCGTCAGGGGATGACTCGCGCTTGTCTCCGCAGTAGTTTTGGTTGAGGTTACTTCCTGCGAGGGAATTTTGCCTCTGGCGCCAAGTGCTTGCTCATTTCTTGGATTTATGAAGAACGCGCTCCTTAAAGTTGCCTTGAGATAATCTTCTGTTGCAAGTTGACACGACATAAATAAAACCGACTTGATTTGGTTCGCCCCAGGGGACGCATAAGCCGCATGCGGAAATCTCCTGAGCCTCGGGGCGTCCCATTTTAAAAGAATGACATTGAAAGTACAAATATGAATGTTGTCTCACAATCCTCCCCGTCTGTGTTTAGTTGCTGCCGACTCTTCTTGTCCTTTGCTGCCGTACGAGACTCAACATCCAGGTAGATGTAGGCGGAGAGGTATCGAGAAAGCACCTCCCTCTCCTTCATATGCCGGCGTGCTGCAGCAGGCGCGACTCCTTGACGGGTCAGTGGGCGGGAGCAAAGGTTAAAAAGAGGCGCTACGTTGTTCATCTTCAGAATTCTTTTTCGGACGCCGTCTGTTTCTCTTTTGGGATTCAACAGGTGAGTCTCGGCCTTCTCGGTTTCCTCTTTGAGTGTTTACGTAGCCATTTTACGGCAGGCGTAAGAATGAGTGGCTCTCATTTGAGCAGGGTGTGTTGTGGCGGTAATTCCTACGCTGGTTATGAGTCACAGGAAACTGAAACGCACCCACACACAAGAAAAATATTATTGCGCAATGTCTTAGTTTTTGGTAGCGACGCGATGGAGGGTGACTGCACGAGTACAGGATAGGGGTGAAATATGAGGTGTTTTGTCGAAGGTCTCGGACTGGCCCATCCAAAAGAGATTTTTCAAATCAGAACATTTTCTTCGTCTGTGTGGGCCAGACAGTCAGCCGGGTTGTTGACAGAGATCTTGCGCCAATTTCCTCCTTCGACATCTTGTGGTCGCTTCACCATGGCAGCACGCCTGCTCTTAATCTCCTGAGCATCGGACACTTCCTTGCAGAGAAGAACGCCACCGTGCTGGAGCAAAAAACTTCCTGACTGCCCGGGATTTTTTTTTTTTCTCCTCTGTCCCAAGCTCAGGGGGGGGATTTAGAAAATTTGGATGACAAGTTGCTTGTGAACATTTCTTTGATTTGTTTAGCTGCGTGGCGCATTGAGGTCGGTTGGCGGTAAAGAGTAGAATGTTGCTCAACCTCAAGCGTGTCTGGTCTGGACTCTGGAATTAGGAGTCTCTGTTAAAACCCGTTAAGATCACCCCTCCCTCCGCACAAACACACTTGACAAAACCCGCGCGTGCTCAGCCATGTCGAGCTTATTTTTCTTGCTTTATTTCATTTTTTTTCTGCAGCTGCGCCCCGATGGCGCCAGCCAACAGCTCCACGCCGCACCTGGTGAAAAACGAGAGCATCGTGGACAGCACGGCCGCCACCACCATGGGCGCGCTCATCCTCGGTCTGGTTTTCCTCTTGGGCTTACCCGGTAATCTCTTTGTTATCTGGAGCATCGTGGCCCGGGCCCGTAAGCAGACCATCACCACTCTCTTCATCCTCAACCTCGCCGTCGCCGACGGTTCGCTGATGGCGCTGACGCCGTTCTTCATCGCCTACTTGGTGATGAAGAGGTGGGCGTTTGGGACGGTGATGTGTAAGGTGCTCTTCTACCTGTGCCTGGCCAACATGTACGCCTCCATTCACATCATCACCCTCATGAGCCTCTATCGACTACTGGCCGTGCTGCGACCCCATCGCGTCAGCTCCCTGGTGGGCCACAAGACTGTGACGTGGACGCTGGCACTCATGTGGGCCCTGGTGGCCTTTGCCTCTGTGCCCGCCATCGTCTTCCGGGACGTGAGGACGACTGCCGACCGCGCCATTTGCGACTCCTACCATGACGAAGACAGTCACGTGAGTTTTCTCGGCTTTTTATTTTCGTTTCAGCAAAAAAACAAAAGGAAATAAGAAAATAAGCTCGTCTATGTGGGAAGTTTATTTCATGCTGCTTCCACCGTTTAGGTGGATCAGAATTTTGCATACCTGTCAACCTCGGCTAATAGCTGCCCTTATAAATGATTACGATTCCCCTTACAAAGCAACAAAAACCCGTACAACGGTTTACCGCGCATGCGCGCATCATGCTTTATCAATCCGACCGTACGCAGCGATGAAAAAAAATATACGATTGAGGATTACTTTTGCTGGTTTGCCGTGACAATAGTAGCGATCGACGAGGGCATTGTCGTTGGCTACCAGCAGGTGAGACGATCTGGATTTGAGCCAAAATGGTCTTTGTGAGATCGGTTCACAATTGTTTTTT